AGGAGAAGGGGACGGCAGAGGATGAGATGGTTAGATAGCATCACCGAAGCAATGAACATGAAATTGAGCAAACTCTGGGAGGCAGTGAAAGACAGGAAGGCCTGGCGCGATATGGTTCATGGGGTCACGAAGAGTCGGGCATGACTTAATGACTGAACAACAACAATATTGCTAAATGGAGATTTGTATTTCATTCTCAGACAGTTGTGATAGACAAAGCTTACAAATATTGGTGTAGGTGGTTTATTTTTGTAGAGTGAATGATTTTGTTAGCATTTTTATACAGTCAATTATGAAGCTTATTCCATTGGATTACACATGGTTTGTAGGAATGTGCTGATCCCTTTTGGCAACATACTACTTAAAATATTCTGTCTTTGAGATATTTATGATTATGCATTGACTACTGGGTTAGAATGTTCTGCAGTAGCCTGAGAATGAAGAATAAACTATTGAAAACACAGTAGAGAAGTCAGATCGTAATGTTGGGGGAACCTTAACAGAAATCATCATATGATAAATTTTTCAAGCTGACATCATATGGGCTTCAAAAACTCATGCTTTTTATAACATACTTCACAACACCAGCAGTTATTTTAATTAAACTAAGCATCTAAAATTGTAACATCCTCTGAAAGCCCAAAATTAATAGAATATCTGTGATATGCTAAGTATTAAAAAATCATGTATTTTCTGTCTACAGTCTAACAATGGTTCATTCTGCTGTTGGGATTTAATCCCAAATGTATGTCTGCTTTATAGGTTAGAATTTTTACAGCAGAAACACATCTGAGATGATAGCTTGTACTTTAGATTGGTAAATGCAGTATTAGCAAAACTCATTTTTCAAGTTTTGGGCGCACTGAAAATTAACTCACAAAACACAGGAATACTAATAAAAAGCTTAATTCACAAATTCTTTGAGCCAGTGATAAACAGCATTATTGCAGAGATAAAAATTCATATTTTACCAGCATTTAAGGAACTATAGTTATGGCAAATTCACTGGATTTAAGCCAAGATATGAGTCTTCAAGGCTTATAATGCTTGCCTCACAGAAAATATTCTCCTTTTTTGTCAAAAGAAAAATACCCTAAAACTTTGAACAAATTAGTAATTGTCCCAGAATGCAGCACTTCATGCTTGGATAGGTTGAAGTTTTTTGGGCTTTGTGAACTATATGCAAAGCTGGTAGTCAGTTAGCAGTTGCTCGTTGCAACATGAAAGGAACAGTCTTAACTCCCAATTATTTTGTCATGAACAGCAGCAAATTCCTATCTGTTCCCGTCCACCTAGTTACCACTTGGCAGCAGGGTCTCTGATAGGCTGCAGCCCCCAGTCCCATTGCAGAGGCCAACCTAACCCTAACCCAACCAGAGAAGTAGCAGCAGCAGCAGCAGCTACAGGCAGCTTCTTCCATATTCTGTGCCAGAAAGAACTCTTGGTTTTAAATGTCAATGAACCTAGTCAAATCCAAAAGATGCCCTGTCTTTATATTTATTAAATTATTTTTTCTTGAAGTTTTTCCCAAATGGTATTAAATATGGCCTCATTGTTCAAAATGTGATATGAACTGGATATTCAGGCAATTATGAAGATGAAAATCTTATTCAAGATATTCTGCCTATGCATAAAAAAAACCCAGTTGGATTGTCTTATTTCACTTTTGAAATAAGGCAAATATTATTTACAAATACATATGTAAATATTAGTAGTCAGAATAGTTACTTCAACATATGCCCATAGATCTCCATTCCTAACCACAATCATGCTAAAATGACTTGTTGCACAAAAGTATGTAAGAAGTGGAGTCTGTATCATGTATGTGAGCCACACTTCGCTAGATAGACAGACAGACAGACAGACATTTCTACCTTCCTTTATTATGAGAAGCAGGCATCCCATAATAAAGAGATGTGTGCAAATATCCATCATCTACCCAATTTTTAATTTTTTATTGGAAAAACATATTTTGAGGCACCTGGAATTCACAATACATTTTTCCTGCAATTTAATTTTCTGCCTACATTTAGTTGTGTCAGACATAACTACTCAGGAAAAAATTATTGCAATATTTTGTAATGCACTCATCATTTCTTATTAATGAGAGCTTATAGCACTGGGTATTTCTGATAGAAAACAGATTTTTAAAACTTTAAGATATAAATTTGAATTCTCAAAATATGTATGCTGAGAGATTCAAACTACCACTAGTGTATGGGAAAAACAAATGACCACATGCTGCCTTGAACACATTTACTAGGCAAAAAATCCTTTGTGGGAAACCTATTGTATGAAAATATCAATTCTCTTTTAACAAGAATTTCTCTGTCTTCAGAGCATCACGTTAGTACATATTCCTAAGTATACAGAAGACTTAAAAATGCATTATCTTGGTAAATCCAGCAATCCTTTCCTAATCCATTAACACAAGACTAACATGGGGATAGACAACATCCTTGGGGGCAGGAGCTACAGCTGACTAGCCGGTCTGTTACAGGAGGCCTCAGATGAAGATGCACCAACATCAAAATGGATGCGATTGACATTTTTGGCCTGCTTTTGTTACTGGAGTGGTGGTAAGCATGGGAATAGGAGTAGTTCACCTCTTAGAGGCCTTAAGCTCCATACACATGTATGCATATACACACATAGATACACACACGAAAAACAAGCCAAAACTACAAAGCTTAATTTTGGTCATTTTGTGACATGATTCTGGGCCATTTTCAGGGATTTGTGAGGAAGGATAAGCATAGAGATGTGGGTTTTCCAGAAAGAACTAGAACTGAATTTTTTCTATGCAAATGAGTATGATTTGAATTAGCATATTTGTCTCAATCTCCATAATATGCACTAGCATTTGCAGTACACTATTTGATGTGAAAAAAAAATTAAATCTAGTCTATTTTATGAGCTTTGAGCCTTACATACAAATAAACTAAAAGCTTCAATATGTGGACAAAAAATTTATTGGAATGTTAGAAACAATGTTGAGCAGTAAGCAATAAAACAATAGAGATGGTAATTCATATGATGGGCAAATTAGGTTGCAATGTTTCTTCCAGCAGTGGTTTTTCAGTCACATGAGGCACACTGCTTGCAAATATAGTTCTAGCCATTGTCTCGTCTGTTCTTGTCAAGTCATTGTCTTGGTCTTCTTTTAACATTTTGCCAATAAAGGTCAATATGAGACTTGACCATCTTGAAGATGAACTTAAAATGGAAACTACATCTTGTAATTAATCTCTTGAAGTTCAATATTTCCCAAATTATTACTTGAGTTACCAAATTCCTGCAACAAAGCAAAGGGGTTAATATTTTTATCTTTCTGTCCTTTCCCTCCATTTGAAAGAAGACAATGTTGCTCAATTTTTTAAAAAAAACTGCAGTAGACAAGCTTTGTTTTTGTGTTTTACATCAAGAGAATACTGTACATCACAGATCTATACCAGAAAGCTCATCTAGAGTATTCGGCTTTTATCTAGCCTCTTTGCTCAAGTCTAAGTTATGGAGGTAAAATGTGGCAAAGGAATCCATGCTGTTGCCAGCCAGAAGAAAACTTGGAGTTAAAAATTTATTTTATATTATCTAATTCCTCACTTGCTTTTTAAAATCATTTTTTGTAAATCATGATGAATGCTATGACCACAGCTTAGTCATATGCAAATATTAATTAAAACCACCTAGTAGAAATCAGTGAATATACTTACATAGGATTCTTGAAGTAGGCTTCTTTCAGACGAGAGTGCTTCATCACATTGTTCTATTAGCTTTTCAGAAATGGTCTGTGTTCTTTCAGAAAATTTTCTGCATTGCCTTAAATGCTTCTTTATCCTCGTAGTATTATTGGCATAGTCTTCCCAGCAATTTTCTTCTTACCTGCACTGGTTTCTTCATAACAATGCCACACACTTATTGTTGTTTGAGACTCAGGCCTGAGATGAGGATTAGCAGAAAATGTCCCTTTCAAGAATACCCATCAAGGATGATAAGTGAGATGCCAGAATCAAGAGAGTACACATGTGAAACTGCCTATGGCTTTTTCCTACAGGAAGTCTACACGGGCGCTATAGGAGGGTAAGAGATACTTGTCTCTCGTTTCTCTGCAGCTTCTCTAGCTGATTACTTCTCACCCAGCCCCTGGAACCAGAAATCCCTGCTTTTTTTTTTTTTTTTTTAGAATGGACCCCTCCAAAGCAAGTATCATACAATTTCAAAACTGCCAAATTTACCTGAAGACCTCAGAAAACCTACATCTCTGATTAAGATGAGAATGTTTACCACCAAGAGGCCTCTTACTTCCATTCCTACAATTACAATTTAAAGGGAGGGAAAAAAAGTCTAAAATTTGTTCATTTGGTGATTAGCAAAGATCCACTGTGAAATGTTGAGGTGCCAGGACATTATACGCAGCACAAGACTTTCCTGCCCCCGCAATACAGCAGTACATGGTTCCCCTGATTGTATGATATTTTCAAGTTTTATATAGTCAAGTTTTCTTTGGTGGAGCCTCTGTACACAGATTAATGCTATGCACTTCATTTGAAGGGGCACTTGTTGAACCCATTGCTCAAAGTTCTGAAGTGCTGTGATGGTGTGTGGGAATGACCTCGGGAGACAGGAGGAAGACCCACAGCCTAGGCAACAGTCTGATAAGAGGCAGCTCAGTCTGCAACTAGGGGAAAAGCATGGGAAGCATTTCAGAAGGGACCCTGCCTAGTTTTCCGGAGACTAAAAAGAGAGAAAGGGGGAAATACTTTCAGTCTTACAAGATTCTGTTTAATGTAACCTTACATTAAAGATAGAGGCACTCCTGGTAGTGCTGCTTGTTTGGACTACCTCAAAGGGCTAACAAGTACCATATACTATCAAGGACTCAGTGCGATTGCTTTAAGGGCTTCTCCCTGTTGTCTGAGCCTCTGGGTGCACATACAGAAGACTCTTCTGCCAAGATGGTTGCTGCAGACGTGCACATATTTTGCTGCATGATTCATGACAAAATACTTCACTCCGCTGTGGAATCTGCTGTCCCAATATATAGCAATGGCTGCACTTGATATAGCTTTAATGGAGCATGTGGCTGACTAGATGTTGGTTGCATGTTATAAGAGGCAGTATGCTTTGTACATTAGTTCCTGGGAGAATATTATTATGCTCATGTCATACTTTGAACTTTTCATAGGCATCTAGATGGCCATTGTGAAAATGTAGGTGTTTGAACTGATTCACCCTAACTTTCCCTATGCTCTTGACTACATGGGAGAGTTGCAATATATTACTTTTTAAAAAGGAACTTAGTTACAACATGACAATGATATGAAGCACTTATATTAAACCTTTAAATAGTGGTTATTATGCAATTTACTGACCAGTACCAGCACTGCTCTACAGCAACTTTCTTCAGCGCTGAAATTATACAGAAAATGTCATGGTTTGTTAGCTATCCCATAGAAAAAATTATACACCAACCACATCAAAGGCCGTGAACACATGACAGTAATGGTGATTTGTCTTCAAGTCTTTTGTAATATAAGCAAATGTAGAGAGGTCTTCAGGGTCTTGTGCAGCACAGGAAATGTTACGAATCTCATGTTCAGCAATAATATTCTAAATGTAAAGAAAAGAAATAATTCTATATATTTAATTATCCAGTCTAGTTCCCAATGTTTTATAAGTTTTTACATCAACTTGCTAATGCAAATAAAATAATAGGCAAGCTCTACTGTATTCAGCAATAAGCAAAATGTGTTATCTCCTGTCCAATCTTGTGTTAACTGAGGAAAAAGTTCAGTTGGTCTCTAAATATTTAATTTTATGATTGAATTCATTAATAATTATTCCCCTCTCAACTGATATTGAAAGTCACAATGTCAAAAAAAAAAATAGTAAGAATACTGTAGAAATATCTACAATACTTCACAGTTTTCCTTGCATGTTAGTTATTGAACCTGAAGTTTTAATCCATTCTAATGACACTGAGAACAGAAAGGATGTGGTAGTTAATCTAAATTACCAACTGTACAAAAAATTAAAGCATTATATTATAGGATTTGTTAGTAGTTGTTAATATACAAATAAAATTCATGTCCCAGTTTAGTAATTAATATTTAGTTCCTCTATTAGATAGAAAGACAAAATGTTTTTATTAGCTCATAAATATATTATGCTAGAAAGTAAATGGTACAAAATCTTACTTTCTTTAGACTTTCTTTTTAAATTTAGGGATAAGGAAATGAATAAATAAAATGCTGTAGAAATTAAACATAGACATATATTTACACAGGTGTGAAGAAAATTTACTGAACCACATAAACTGAGGGATACTATCCAGATTATTGTAACATACACATATATTTATTTTATTATTTTATTTATGAAATTTATATACCACCTCAATCCAATAGGGCTCTAGACGGTTTGCAACATACATTAGAAAATATAAATCAATATAAATAAATCTGAATCTGGCATCAAAGGCTCTGCATAACCACTGCAGACTTTAACATGGCAAAAAGATATATACCTTTATTACCTCCATTTTATGAATATTTTTTTCATAAAAGTAATATGCATTTGCTTCATTAAAGCTAAGCAACTATTATTCTACAGATATTTTGCCTACAAAAAATCACGAACACATTAATGAATAAGCCTTAATGAGCACCAATTTTTAAAGATCTTTAAACTAACATCTTGATTAAAATCATTTAATTTTATGCTACTGTTGGCAAAACACAGTATTTCAGTTTTTTTCTTACTTTTATTGGTATTTTCAAAACTGTTGGATTAAAACAATATGAATTGTTATTATATTTACACTGAATATAATACACTCCTTCAAATGAAAGCATAAATGTTGCCTTCGGATATTAATTCTATTAGCAATGGTGTTAAGAAAAAGTCTTCAATATTCTCAGAAGGAATTAGAATTGGAAGAGGTGTTTGTGCCAAAATGAAAAACTGGAATAACTTAATAAGCTTTGTCATTTTTAATGTACATTTCCAGCTTAGTTCTAGTTTACTGAAAGGTCTACTAACATTTGAACTCTCAAGTTTAAATCGGAAACCATGGGACACATAAAGCTAGTTCTGATTTAATATAAGTAAAAATAACTAATCTATGATTTAGAATTGTTCATTTGTTGTCATGTAATCTTTTTTCTTTTCCTTTTGTTTTTGTTATTGTATGCTACCCAGAGTTCTTCAGAACCAAAGCAAGTTAAATAAAAGAATGAATGAATAAGCTATTTTTACTTATCAGAAAAATCAGACAATATTATTGTCCTTTTCATTAAAATGAAATGACTAGATACGATCACTCAGTGGAACAATCTAATGCGATAAAATTAAATTGTACTACATTTAGTGAAACTGAGATGCTAGATTTGTATTTTTAGAATTTCAAATGTGCTTTAATTCTCTTGATTGTGCCACAATATATCAAACAATAGTGTTTAAAATGACTTAATCCATTTCCATCCACATTTGCCGGAGGAGGGGACTCATGGCAGCCTCGTGATGACCTAGTATGACAAGAGGATCCTGGTTACAGAATGTACAGTCCCTAACTGGGACCAGAATATCTGTCACTAAGCAAAATGGCCATTAAGCAAAACATCACATGACTGCACCACTAAGTGATGGCAGTTCTGGTTGAGGTCATTAGGCCAGAACTGCACCATCATTAGGTGAGGATCTCACACTTCCCTTGCCCTACCACACTTCCCTCCATTTCAATTCTGCCACCTACCCTTGCCACCCCATGCTGATCTTCGTAGTCGTCTTCCTTCAGCCACTAACAAGGCGCACCTAGCCAATGCAGCTGCTGGCCCTTTGTGAGGCTCTCACACGGCCTCCCTGATGTAGCAGGTAGCAGGGGTAGGTGGCAGTGGCGGAGTGCAGGGTGGCCAAAAGGGAAGAGATGGGGGGGAGATAGGCGAGTGGGGAGAGCTGAAGTGCACGCAGCGGTTGTAAATGTGGGCAGGCTGCCAAGCACCCAAATGTGATCACGTAACCATGGGAGCACTGCAACAGTAATAACTTTGAGGACCAGTCATAACTACCATTCATTCAGTGCTGTCGTAACTTTGAACAGTCGCTGAATGAATGGTCATTAAGCAAGGACTACCTCTACTGTATTATCTGAGTCCCTGGATGCTTTCAGATAATAAAAAGCGTGATTGAGAACAAATGTATTAACAATTTTTATAACAAATCAAGAAACAGTTTTCAATTTGTAACTTTCCTGTGTCTTTCCATTATTAGTTCTGTCCCTTTTATTTTTACCAAAAGAAGGAAAAAATGATAAAGTTGCTCACATTTAGATGTAAATTTCTTCTAACTTTTTTTATAACTAAAGAGAACAAAAAGCCCCATCTGTTTAACCATCCTTTGGGTCCAGTGTTGCAAAACAGCAGCACACATACTTAGTCTTCAGTTGCGTACTTACACAGTACACCTCTGATATTCAAGCTACATAGGTTACTGGTAGCTTTCTGAATACAATTCAAGATACTGGGCCCTATGATTTCTTAGAGACTGCTACTTCCCAATAGTTTCTGCTCTTCTGGAGGGCCTTTGGGGTGCAACTATATCAGTAGTATCACCTCCTCCAATTTTACACATTTTTAGCTTGTATTCTTGTTACTATTATAATAATTTTATTTTGATTTAGTACCATATTTTTAATATGTAAATTATGTAAGCTACCAAGACTCCAGTTGGTTTCAGGTCCTCAGATAAATTTCATAAATCAATAAATAAACAATCTTTTAATAACAAACTTTTTACAAATAATGAATGCAAGTTATTACTCATTTGTTGCAGGAGATATGGATGAATTTCCTTCATTTAGTGCAATCCTTTCACTAAAAAGTATATGTTCTTAGCATTCAATCTGCAATTTTGCATTGCTAAGAAAATAAATGATTGCAATAAGGAGCATTGTATACTGTGTTTATACAATGCTCCTTATTGCAATCAGATTTATAAAATAAAATAAAATAAAATAAAATAAAATACTTCTGGTGTTTATGGCAACATTATATAAATAATGTCTCTCCTCCCCTTACCATTCCTATGGCTAGTTTTTAATGCTACTTTGATCATCATAAAAGAGCAGATGATGCAAGCAAAGCAGTGTTAGAAGAGAATATACACCAGTCTATGCAATGAACTGTGGACCCAGGCATGCACCCACCCACCCACCCACCTTCATGGGTACATTCCTTCCATGTATTTATTAGATTACTGCTAAAATCATGCAACTCTCAGCTGTTTAAGTGACACCCTAAGGTATCATGAATTTTAAGAGAATAGATGATTTCGCTTTTTTGAAATTACTATGAAGGCTCCTAAGAAAGTGTTAAACTCTTTTTCCTCAAAGCAATATTCAGTTACCAAATGAAAGGAACAATTAAAGAGCCCTAATAAGCTCAATTTGTACTTAATTTGGAAATGTATGTAAAAAATGGTGATTATTTCAAGGAAACAGACATAGACACAAGCAGGTTCATGAAATTTCAATACCTTATGCATCTTATTTTGAAGCTGGCCCGGATAGTATGTATTAAAAAAGAAATAGTATTGGACTGTAAAATTATCACTTGGATAAAACAATATTCACTGATCAAATATACATAAAATGGACAAAGCCAGATGTTTACTTTAAGCCAAACTAACATTGGTCAGGTTGTGGATAGACTTGACAAAAAATCATCAATATAGTTCGTTAACTAAGTATGTATACCTTTGCTTATGTCTGATAGCTTAGACATTCTTAATGAGAATTTTAAGCTGTGATTGTAATTAGACAGCTACATCACAAAAGGGAATATGAACAAAACAAAAATAAAACAAATGAAAACGGCATGGATGTAATTACAATATTGGTACTCCTGACCATTTTCATTTGTTTTATTATTTACAATATGTTCAATCATACATGAAAAGCAAAGTGTCTGAACTATGGAATAAAGAATGGTAGATGCCATTTACTTGTGCCAGTTTCAACTTATTTCATGGCAGACTGGGATCATTTTGGAAAAAGTGGAGGCGTATCAATGCTTTTGGCAGCATCTGTATATACAGTATATAATGTGTGATGTTCTGGTTTAAGTTGGACTGCTTTTCTAAAAAAAAAGTCTTCTACTAAAGTCTTGTGGGAGAACGTACTGTTGTGCACAATGGCTATAGGTAGATTTGCAAAAATACTAGCAAGGAAATGTCAGTGACAGCAAGTAGTTCTGGATTTGTTCTGACCATGTTGATTTTTATATTGAATGATACAAATACTTACATTCTTCCACTTTTAATACAAAATTAACTGTCTATGGGACAACACATCCTCTCATAAATATTGATATAATGATATAGTTGTAACTCAGGATATGATTTCATGCATCTGATGAAAGATTATAGTTTATGAAAGCATCAGCTAGAATAAACTTGATCATCTTCAATATGTAATGAGAATCATTTGCTGTGGAAAGGGATGGAGAACACCTATTGGCAACTACTTAAAAAAACTACCTGTCTGCAACTACATGAAACAGGTATGAAATGATGCCTACCTTATTTGTTGCATCAATAAATTTTACTCCTTTGTAAGAGACAGATAGAACAATAGTAGGAACTTTCTTCATTTGTTCTGTAGACTTCTGAAATTAAAAACAGAAAAATTATGAATTGGGGAAGTCTGTTATCTCCCTTCTTCTCCTTAAGATAAATAATATGTTACCTGCTATGGTTGTGCAGTGCTTCATTCAAAAGAAAAAAGATGCTTCAGAGCAAACAGACAAGTTATTGTAGCGTTTGTCTGCAACAAACTATTCCGCCTTTTGTTGTGATTGTGTGGCAGATGTGGAGGGCAGCCATGCAATTCCCCGCAAAAGGAGTGGCTGCTTTAAGGAGCTGCATACAGGTGCTACATTTGAGCCTCTGTCCATTCCAAAGCACTTGTTTTCTTTGCACCTCAAGCACTGCAGCCTATTCCCTGCTGCGGCTGTAGGGAATCTATAGGGGAAATAGTTGAAGTAGGCCCACCAGATGCTAAAGGGAAAAAGGCTCTAATTGACTGTATTTAAAAATGTGTGTGGAGGGGTCTCCTTTCAAGCATGAGGGTAACACAAAACTGAATTCCTTTGCCCTGACTCTGGAACAGTTAACAGCAGAAGTATCTGAACGAGAAGGTAACAGATACAGCTGGATCAACCTATTACCTATTCTGGTGCTTACATTAAAATGTTTGGCTTTCTAGGTCTGCAAAATTTACCATTTTGTAATTATTTGATTTACTGTTTGCTAAGGCATTTGTAAAATACAATTATTTGCTATTTAACAATATGTGATAAGTAAAAATAAAGCATATTTTTAAACAGATTTATTTTAGCAGAATATGCACTTGATAGTGAAATTTCTGGAACACCCTATCTCACCCCAGATACTGCTGAACTACAACTTCCAGCAACCTCAGCTAGCATAGTCAAGCCTGACTTCACTCGAGACATGTGATGGTTGAAGCTCTTAAGTGATAAGCACACATTCGTGCTTACCAGCATGTGTGAACAAAGGATGAAGGGGAACATCATTAGTAATTACAAAGGAACATCATTAGTAATTACAATCTCCTTTGATAGAAAAGCTCCTGGTTGTGGAAGTGACTCAGATATTGGAAAAGTGAGTAAGCTGTGTCCAAGAGGAAAGGGTTAGAAGTCCAGCAGCCAGTGCTATGGTTCAGGCACAGGATTCTCTTTAGTGAACCTAAGCATGTCAGACTTTTCTTGGGATGAGTTTGAAGGGGGAAAGAAGATCATGTCTATTGGCATGGTAAGTTGGAATATAAAACATTCCATTCTGCACTACCCAAGGAAGATTAATTTTAATATATTTTTATTAGTTTTTAACAAACAATATCAGGTAACTACATTAACATAAATCCAAGATACATATAGAGTACCAATCAGCACCCTTAGTGAGAGGTTGTTCTCCTGAACAGGTGACATGATGACATCCCATTTCTTAAGTCTCAGTTCTGAGTTGAAGGAACAATATGACTTTCTTAAGATGAACTTTCCCTTGCTGAACTCTCCTGACATTTCTCGTTCATGCTCAATACCACTAGAAACTACCTTCCCACCATCCAATGACCATGCATGGATGATAGTGTTACCTCTCAGACAGCAGCCCATCTGGATCAAACATTCAGCAAATTATGCTGGGATGGGTCACAGGCTCATGTTACCTGAATGATGCAGACTAGACAGAGATCCACAGATCATTTGAATGTTTCCACTGTCACTACAGCACCTGAACTAAAGTCGTCCTCACCAGCCATCTGCAGCCCACCTACCCACCCTCAGATCTGCTCTCAAGGCCATTCCGTCCAGTGCATAGCCTATGTCAATGTTGCCAACCTGGATGGGTCAGATGAATCTGATGGGCTTGATAACCATCCATAGCACATGCGGTTTAATCTGCGTGGAGGCAATAATGTACAGTGTGAAAACAAACTTAAGGCGGGATATAAATCTAGTAATAATAATGTAGCATTTGCAAATTATAGGCTTATCTACTGTAATCATTTGAAAGAGTAATGGTTTACTCACCCTCATTTTTGCACAGGCATCCTGTGTAGATTCTGTACCTCTTAATTCTTTGACCAGCATTGAACCTAAATACTTAAAGGATAAACAAATAATTTGTTTTCTTTAGTTAAGAACAGTATAAATAATTTAAGTTTTGAAGTGGAATTTGCTATTCTATGTTTTGTACTGAATCATTTACTGTGTTCTCCAAATCATTTGTGGAGCTGCCTAACTGGTAAATTTTAACCTTTTTTGTAACACCTAAGCAGAGTATCTTTCTCTCTGCCCCCACCCCACCCCTTTCTCTGTCCTCTTCCCTTGCCTCATCTTCATCCAGTTTTGTTCCCTACTTTTGCTTCCCTTCCTTGCATAGCTACCCCTTTACTCCCATTTGGCTAATTAATAAACCCCAAAATATCCTTTTCATGTCATATGTCAGTATATAACTCCAAGGTGAGGCCAGACCCATCCCTACCAGCCTTCTACAAAGCCCTTTAAACATGGTTTTTCCAGCAACCTTGGGGATCCCATGGAACAGGGAACCTGCAGGATGGTTATGTTATGCTTAGAATGTGTCCATTTTCCTGCAATCTTGGTTTTTTATTTGTTTGTTTGTTTATAGTTATTTACATTTGTTTTCAACTGTTTTGTTCTACACCGCCCAGAGTCACGTTTGTGAGATAGGCAGCTATATAAATTTGCTAAATAAATAAATTACACCCCTCCAACCTCTCCCCCAAACATATACTTTTAAAATTTTATAGTTCTAGAACTTTGGAAGATTGTTCATAATACAGGAAATTCTTGTTGAAATCATTTTACTCATACAAGAAATACCTCATCACTGCTCCTGTTACATTAGGGAGAGAAAATAACTAGGCACCTTGTTACAATCCAATTTCCTCCCCTAAATCAAGCAACTTTCAGCTGTTTGCAGCAAACACATTCTGTTTAATTGACTTACAAATGCTTTGTAATCACATGATTGGAAAATGAGTTTCTCTGGATGATGCTGCCAGTATTGTACTGGTGTTGATCCTGTAGCTTCATTAGGAGGTCGCAAGGTAATAGATGGTTCACCCCAGTCTCCAGTCTGAAAATCAGATGCATTCCCAAAACAAAGTAACTATAAGAAGGTTAAGTTGTAATAATGCTTTTTCTGTATTTGTAGTCAACTTCTATCAACTGAATATTTACTGCATGTGTTTACTAATGCTATATGGACATTTCATATTACAGTTCTATGTTTTATCTGAATTTTCTAGCAAAAAGCAAGTAATGTCCAAAATACACAGGCATTATTTAAAGGAAATTATTACTGACATAACATTTTACAGGAGAAACTAAGTACAATTTCAGATACTTGGCTCAAAATGGGAAATTCAGCTAAACAAAGTACCTGAAAGTAAACACTTACAATGTTCACTATCTATATGACTACAACTAGGCTCCTTTCATGGAAAAGAAAATTCTATTTTGCCCAATGGAACTTACTCCTAAGAAAGCCAGTTAGAACTATAGCATTAGATATAAATACAGAATTTACTTCTAATTCTGTAAAAACCAATGGGATCAAAATAAAATTATCTTAAGTCAAATTGCTATTCATGACAAATTGATATTCTTACAGAAGGAAAGAAATAAGTGTTTCAGTTGATTTAGGCTATAATTTACTTAGGAGTAAGCCTTACCAAATAAAATGGTATTTGTTTTGAAGCAAATGTGTAGGATTTTTTTTTTTTAATTCACAGAACAATTACATTTGGAAGGCACATACTAAAACAATACATTAAATTAAATGCTAAAAACAACTTTTCAGTTCATTTTTAAGTGATTTGTTCCTGTTTAACGGGGCAGAAGTGGCAACTAATTGTTAACATTTTAGTAATCTTTTTTAAACCTGGAAACGTAACACATTGGCAAAAGCAACAGAAAAGCGTAATTTTTACTGAGAATTCCAGTCACAGAAAGTATGCTTTGATTTCTTAAGTCAGGACAGAGCGAACATAACAAGCATTATATATAAATCTCCCATGTCTATAGGCCACACAGTAAAGACAAAGACAGAGGTTTATACAGATCTACAGTGACGAGCACAAGATAAAGTGGAAGGCACCAAAATTTTCTATTTGGTGGAAACTGAAGCAAGACTGCAGAAAATGAAGCAAACAGAAACAACTTTGTGCCAACATTACATTTAGTTGAAGGGACAGTAATGTATTTCATCTGCTTTTCTTAAAAGTGCTTTGCAACGTTTGCATTTTTCTGAATGAAAGATTTTTGGGTTTTTTGAAGAAAAGGGAATAGTAAGACTAAATAAGTTCCTCCACTCTTGGCGCTGGTGCATTTTTCTCATTATCTTCCTTAACGCTGGGAAGTGCTACTGCATTTGTGTGATATAGCAAACATATGCACAATAACACACTTGTTAGCAAATATATGCCACAGTGTTCAAATATCGTTAATATCAACATTAAACATTCTAGATTGAATCCAATGTTAAACACATGCAACTGATTTTGCAAAAGCAACTTTCCCTACCTCTCTCCCCAAGTAAGAGGGGAACATCTGTGAATGGAACTCTGATTCCTGAGGTAAAATCTCCCTGATTTGTATGGATTTGCATCATTCCAGGCTATTCCATTCAGCATAGCTATCAAAATGTCTGAGTAGTATTTTTATGGTCTAGATGGGCTGCTATGGGAAGAAGGGAGATGTAATTTGTTCCTGCAAACTTGTTTCATTTGCCTAAATCTGGATCCCACTCATTAGGAGAATTATCCATTTTGAAACATATTTACTTTTTATGCAATACAGTTGCCACACATACATGAGTGTTACTGTAAAGAAGCAAATTGTCAAGTACCTAGGGTCCAGAGGCACCACAGAGTTTATAGTTTATAGGAGTTGGGCAAAAGTGTTCTAGGGAATGCCTTTCCTTTGGCCAGCCTATTCCACCTTAATTAATTTAACCACTACCATGTCACTATATATGTGTTTCTCAAACCTGGCAACTTTAAGATTTGTGGACTTCAAGTCTGGCTAGTGAATTCTGGGAGTTAATCCCACACACCTTAAGGGTGCCAAGTTTGAGAAACACTGTCCTCTATCTTGTTATCTCCTCTTTCCCTTTTGTCATTTTTCATTTCTTACCTCCTCACTCCCCATCACTTGATT